ATACACATGCTGCAGGATTCGGGGGATGTGTTACGATGTCTGGAACTTACTTTGAAATGCATCCAAAAACATGATGGGTGGGTGGATAGAAGGATAGGCAGGTGGCTGAAGGTATGATGAAGCAATAGGGTGAGCTGTGCACACCCAGAACAAGGTGGGGGGTCAGGGCAGGCGCCTGAGGAACACCCGGCAGTGGCGGCCAGTGCCAACCTCCCAGAAATCTTGGACGCGGCTCTCAGCCTCACTCACCCGCTGCTGCCCGCCGGCCACTGCAGTCCTGTCTCAGCCTCCATTCCTTCCTCTAACAGTGATGCTCCTCGGGGCTCCATGGGCTTCCTGAGTGACGTCACCCCTTCCCGCAGCTTTAAGGACCAGCTCTATCAGGGTCCCCCTCAGCCTGCCACCCAGGGCTCCAGGTCCAAAGCTGCACTCAGCCCTTTCCTGGACCCCATCTCCCGCACCCATGTGCTGTCTCAGCTACCCTCCCCGCTGCCTCAGACATCCTGACCCTTCGCCTGTCACGGCGGCATCTAACCGGGTTACCAGGTCCCATCTGCTCTATGCCCTAAGCCCCCATCCATCTGCTCCTCTTGCTTTGTCATCTCACCAGCTCCTTGCCCTCATCTTGCCCTGGTCAATCCATCTTCTACATGCCCCCCTCCAGAGGGAAGGCTCTGCAGTCTGATGACCTGGTCACTCCCCGACTTGAACACAAACTCTTCAAGCTCTTCCCTGCCTGGATCTGTGACACGGCTCTCCAGGACCTGCCAGCCTCCCCAGCTCCAGGTGCCGTGTTCTTTCCCCGAACAGGCCTCGCCCCAGCCGGCAGCTCATCTCTGCTGGCTCCAGACGGCAACCACAGAATGCGCTGCCTGCCCCGCCCGCCGGCCTGCATGATGGCTGCCCCATTGCCATGGCTACCCATCCCTGCAGCCTCCTGCCCTGGCCGAGCCCCACGGGGGTTTGCGTGTTCACCCTCCAAGTGACCTCGTGATCGGCTCCAGGATGCTGGATCTCTGATTAGTCCTAGAACTAAGCATGAGACTTCTGTTCCCCTCTTGCTGGGGACCAGGGTGGGGAGGGGCACATGGCGAGACCTGAAAGGAAGTCTGCTGAGGGGCTTCTGGAAGTGTCTCCTTGCTCATGAGGAGATACAGAACAGTTCCCCTTCTGCTTCTGCCCTTGGCTGGGCAAGGAGGCGAAGGCTGGAAGCCGCTCTGGCCATCTCTTGCAATGGTGAGGGGAGCTCCCAGGTGCCTGGACCGGCAGAGTGGAGCCGGCCTGGGCCTGGGCGAGGCTGCAGCTCCCTCCGGCTTTACCGACCCTGGGACTACTGCCCTGCTGACATTCTTCCCCCAGACGACGGGCTCCTGGCTGCCTACGCCAGCTGAGCAGGAGTTCTGAGTTACAGGTGAAATCATTCTTATTCACCGTGGATGAATTCGAAGAAATTCCAAGATCGCACTTTGCATTTTTGACATAAACCTACAACTTACCTGCTGAGGCCAGCTACCGACGTACAGGCATTGAGAGGCCTTCTCTGAGAAATATTCGGGGATCCCAATTAAAGAGCAGAGTGGCCCCCCAAAGCTGCCCGTGTTTTAATGCCCAGAACCTGTGAAAGCATAGTTTACCTGGCCAGAGGGACTCTGCACATGTGACTGCAGATCTCGAGATGGGGGGGTGATCCCGGATGACCCATCTAATCCCACTGGCATTTAAGGCAGAGTCTTTCCCAGAGAGATGTGACATTGCTGGCTTTGAAGATGGAGGAAGGGGCCACAAGCCAACGAATGTGGGTGGCCTCTAGAAGCTGGAGGAGGAGAGGAAACAGGATCTTCCTGTTCTTCCAGAAAGGAACGCAGCCCTGGCGACACGTGCTTTTAGCCCAGGGAGACCCATGTCACACTTCGGACCTCCAGAACTGCAAGATAAATTTAAGCCATTAAATTGGTATCATTATAAGGCGGCCACGGAACGCTAATAGAGGCCCGCTGAAACACAGAAGGCAAAGTAAGTCCACAGGGGACATGGCTACACTCCGGCCAAGTCCTGCTCGACCTTCGCCCCCTCACCGAGTGTGGCTTCCTCAGAGAAGACAAGCGGGCGGCAGCGGAGTCCGTCCATCTGGGCCGCTCTAACCAAAGGCCACAGTGCTGGAGGCTACGAGTCCAAGATCGCGGCAGCAGCAGATGGAGGCTGCAGAGGGTCTGACTCCTGGATCACAGGCTGCCGTCTTCCAGCTGTGTCCTCTCGTGTGGAGGGGCAGGGGGACTCTGAGGGGAAGGCCTCCCTTATAATAGCACTAATCACATTCAGGAGGGCTCCATCCTCCTGACTGAATCGCCGCCCAGAGGCCCCACCTCCTAACACTGTCGCCCTGTGGGAATGGGTTCCACACATGGACTCTGAGGGGACACGAACGTCCAGTCTATGCTTCTCTGGGCCCCCGTTCCTTCTCATCCCCAGAAGCCAGCCTAGGCGTCCTGTGTTCGTCACTGGCCTCGTCCTTGAGCCGTGTGGGGGCAGGACGGTGCCCACGTGGGCCAGCCTGTCATCGCCGATACAGGAACCGGGGGATGCCAACGGCCAAGGCAGGCTGAGGCTGCAGGCAGGCAGTCCCACAGCGGCGTCATGAATGTCACCCTGGGGCCGGCCACCGAGAGGACAGATCCAGGTATCACCCCCACTTCACCGGGCCACCTCCCACCCTCCTTGTTATTCCTGGGGCAAGGGGTGGTGGGGTCAGCACGGAGGGACGAGACCTGCAGGCTTTTTAAAATAACTGCATCCTTTAATGGCAGTAATACAATTATTGGATTAAGAGACCACAGGAGAAAGGTCAGGTGACGTTTCTGGAAGACAGATATGGAGTACAAAAAGGGGGCGGGACAGTCATGCGACGATCATTGTAAAAATACATACGTTATATACATATTTGCACCGTCAACTTTCAACTCTGAAATAGTATTTACACTTTTGTTACAATCCTGGTTAGAGAACAATTTTTCTTTAAAAGCTCGGCCTGATGGCAAAATGAAAATTTCGGGTGAGTTCACAGTCCCATGAGGTTCTTAGGCTGAGTATTCCAAGAGGAGGGTTCCAGCTTCTATTTCATCCACAGATTTCGGTTTAAAAAAAGTATTTAATTTTGCTTTTACAAAAGAAAATTCTCAAGGGGGTGGGGGGGGGGAGGAAAACACAGCCACACTGTGTTCGTCTAACTCACTTTACAAACACCAAGGGCTGCGGCCCCTGCTTCAAGGCCGACACTGGCGGCTGAAGGAAAATCTCGCTAATGATTGTTCATAAAAACGAAACAAAAAAGATGCAAAGACGCAAGGACAAACCAAACCCACCTGATTGTGGGCGCGGAGCCTGTCTGTGGCTGCGGGGCTGCCTCTCCCGCACCCGCTACGGCCCCAAACTCAATAACTATCTTTTTTCCAGGCGAGGTGTTTGCAACAGGAATCTCGTTCAGCCCTCACCCCGAGGAGGTGAGTGGGGAACCCTTGGCTGAGCCGCAAGGAAGAGACGGGGCCTTAAGCAAGGCGCTGGGACCAGAAAAAGGCAGACGGTGGCCAGCAGGGAGCCTGGTGCAGCCACACACTTGGGGTGGGCCTCCTCTGGAGCTCTGTGGACAGGCCGGACCTCACAGGGTCCTGGGGGCGGCGGGGGGAGCCCAGATGTCTCTCCTCTCTCCCCAGCTCAGCAGAATAAGGGGAGCAGGACGCAGACTTCCAGCTCCGCACCCCTCACCTGCAGCGGGGGTCCCGGTCCCTTTCCTGGAGAGGGCCCAGCAGCCCCCGACCCTGCCTCAGCTAGTCGCCACCTTTTCCTCAGGCCCTCTTTCTGGAAGTGTCCACATCCCCTACACTGTGACACAACTCTGAACCCGTGCGCCTGTTGGCTTGTGAGAAAAAAACCCACACACCAAAACCACAGGCCCTAAAGATATGGCCAAGGAGGTGCAAAGAGAGCAGAAACACTTTGCGAAGACCCACCCAGGGCTCCTGACAGAGGGAGCCTGGCGGAGCGGCCACACGGCGGATCCTTGAGCTGTCCCCACAGCGGCCGGGGCCGGCACACTGGGCACCCTGACGTCTGAGGGCCAGGACAGACCCCGGCCCTAGGGGAGGAGGGCGTGGCCGTGACAGGACAGGAGCTAATACTGACAGAGAACACGTGGTCTGGAGGCCGCCGGTCCGTGTGGCCCTGGAGCCTTCCGCTGCGGCCGGAGGGTGTGGGTTTCAACATGAACTCTGGACGGAGGAGGCGGGAGGCCCATGTGCGAATCCAGACAAGGCAGCAGTGGGAAAGGGCTCTGCGTCTTCCAGCCGGGCAGCTCCCCAGGGCTCTCTTCCTCTTTCTCTGCTACTCTCCCTGCCTCCACCGGCCCCCGAAGCTGCTCATCACAGCCTGCGCACTGCAGGCGATGGGCTTCGAGAAGCGTCTGGACCTGCTCCGTGCGGGTCCTGCCCACTGTCTTGGTTCCATCTCCCCGCACTCGTGCAACACGGCCCAGCAGCGTTCAGCAGGCTTTCTCAACGGTTCCCTTTGTCCTTGGGGGGCGGGGGAAGGAGGAGGGGCCAAGCCTTGCCCAGAAAGCCCACCAGACCCCCAGCTGCCAGACCGGGGCCCCAGCTTTCAGGGAGTCCCTGAAAATCGGCCGGCCAGGCAGAGTGCCAGCTGGGGCCGAGGCCCAGGGCCTCACGACTGTTCACATGCACGAGGAGGCGATCTTGGCGGCAGCCCGGAGCCCCGCGCACTGACCAGAACCGAGGATGGTTATATACAATTTATATGTGTCAACGAAAGGACTACTCGGGGGGGAAAAAAAAGAAAAAGAAAAAAAAAGAGAGAGAGAGAAAGAAAAACAGGTAAAAATAAAAGAAAGAACGCCCAGACCCCTCCCCTCCCCCCACGCCCCCAGCTCCTGCGGCTGCCCTTACTATACCCCTGGGAAGGGCGGTGCCGGGAGTGCTGACTCCCGCTGAACACTACTGGCAGAAGGGCGAGGCAGTGGGGTCGAAGCCTTTAAAAACATCTTTCAGGGACCCTGCATCCTGCTCGCCCTCCCGCGCTGGGCTGTTGCCAGCAAACGGGCTCCCGGAGCCTGTCTTGGGCGCCTGCTTCACGGTCCCGAAGAGCGTGGGCACGGGCAGGTTGTGCACGCCGGGCTGCGGTGGGGCGCCCTCGGGCGGCGGGGTGCCCGTGGCGGCGGGGGCCGCGGAGGCCTTGGGCCGGGGCCGGTTGTAGCTGTTGTATCTGTCCGTGGCCGTGGCTGCCCCCCCGTCTGCGCTGGCCTTCCCCAATTCGGGCTGTTCCAGGGCCGACTTGCGGACGAACGGCGGCTCCTTGGCCTTGGCGGCCGAGCTCTTGCCATTGCCCTCAGTGCCCTTGGGCTGGGCGCCCGAGTCGGCGGCCGGCTCCGAGGCTTTGCCCCCCGCGTTGGGAGTCCTGGGGTCGTAGAGGCTGATGCCGCTCAGCACGCTGCTCTGCCCGCTCCCACTGCCCTGGCCCAGCCCGCCGGCCGCCAGCACACGGGGGTCATAGGGCGCGGTGGCCGGGGGCGAGGACTCCCCGCTGGGGCTGCCAGAAGGAGAGGGCGCTTCGGTGGGACCAGGCTTGGCAGCCCGGGAGGAGGCAGCAGAGTCTGCTGGTTTCTGCAGCCGAGGGTCGGCGGGGGCCTTCCGCACCCGGGGGTCACTGGGCTTGTCGCTGGGGCAGGGGGCCGCTGAGGGGCCGGTGGCATTGACAGTCTTGAGAATTCGAGAGAGGAGCTCAAAGTCAGGCAGGTTGGAGCCGGATGTGCCGGGGTCCGTGGAGGTGCCCGGGCGCTGCCGGGGGTTGGGGGGTCCCGGGGCGGCGGCACGGTGCAGCCTGGGATCCAGGGCAGGCATGGACTGCAGGGCAGCGGGGACGGGGGGCACCGAGTCCTGCTTGGGGATGGGCAGGGGGATGAGGTCCTCAGGGTTCCAGAGCACAGTGCGGGCGAAGCTCGGCTTGCTCAGGGTCACATCCTTCTTGATGTGGCTGAACTGCTGCAGCTGCGACCTCGGGTCCCGGAGCGGGTGTCCGGGGAGGGGGTCCAGGGGAATGTTCACGGCCTTCTCCCTCAAGGCCCGCTCCCCTTCCTCCTCTTCTGCAGGGGGTGGTCCAGACCCCTTGCAGCTGCCGGGGCCTACAGGGCTGGAATGAAGGCCGCCGTCAGGCTTGGAAGTGGGCAGGGAGCGTGCCAGCCGAGGGTCGGAGGGCCCTGTGTCGCCTGGGCCCGAACCACTGGAAGCCTCGGCGTGGCGGGTGAGTCTCGGGTCCCGGCTGAGGCGGGGGTCAGCCAGCCGGCCTCCTGGGGGGTGTCCCTTCTGAAGGCGGGGGTCCCCCAGCCCGCTGCTGCTCAGCTCTCCCACCGACGCCTGGGGGCGGCTAGACGTCTGCTGCCTCAGGGTCTTAAGGATGGAGGTGACGCTGCTCCCACCTTCGTCCTCGTCACTCGAGTACCAGTTCCCAGTGTCACCTGAGAAAGAGCAGAGAGGAGCAGGGAGGGGTGAGTGGCCACCACATCCGCCACCAGCCCTCCTGGGCCCACACAGCCTGCTGGGGACATCTCCTCCGCCTCTCTCCTCTCTGCACCTCAGTTTCTCCTCTCAGGAACCCCTCCCCCGTGGGCTGCTGCAAAGAGCCAGGGAGCTCGGGCACCCAGCGCCGAGCCTGGCAGGTGGCTGCTGACCTTCACGGAGCGACTCCGTGTGCGCACTGCTGGAAGCGCTGTCTCGTTAATGCCCACCACCACCCGGGAGGTCGTGTTATCATCACGCCCATTTGATGGGTGGGAAACGGAGGCAGGGACAGGGCGGTGAGATTGGAGGCCAAGCCGGCGCTGAGCTCAGACTCCCAGCCCAGGGCTCTGACGTGCCCCACCCAGGGCAGGCCTGGCTCTGGGTGCCTGTGAGTGGAGACCACAGACGCAGCCCTCCCTGTGCCTGGGGCTCAGGGACACCTGCCCGGGGCCCCTCCCGACATTGCCCAGCAGTCACGGGCTGATAAGAGGCGGGGCCGGGTGGGCAGACTCAGAAACTGACTCCAGTCCAACCTTCTTGGCAGGTGAAACTGGAGCCACAGGGGAGACGGCTGCCACCTCGTCCCACTGTCCCCACTTGCTCCCAGTCTCCTGTCAGGGCCACCCGTGGCCTCTGGCTCCAGGTTCTAGACACCATCTGTCCGCCCCCCCCCACCCTGGGCAGATGCCACTAGGTCCCCCGCGCGGCCTGACACGACATGGCAGTGCGTATGGCTGGTTTACGTCAACGACTAGTTCTCCTCGGCTTCCTGAGAACACGGTCTGGGGGAAAGGGGGCTTGAGCGACTCCCCACAGCCTCCTCCGTAAGGACACAGAGGGTGAGACCCTGCTGGCCGCTATCTCCTTCAGGGACCAGCCCACCGCCCTCCTTGATGGGATCAGGGTCTCTTCCGACCCCCAAGACACAGAAGGGCCAACTTGACTTCCAGTTTTCTCAGGGACATGCAACAGCCCCAGCCTGGCTTCACGGCCCTGGGCAGGGATGCTCTCTGGCCACAGGCTCCTGTCCAACACGAAACCCAGCCTAGGCAGTCCCCGCCTCTCCCCTGCACAGTGGCTGGGGCTGCGCCCTTCAGGGAAAGCCCCTCCCGGGGGGACACGTGCCTTCCTCATTCTCCCGGTCCTGCTTGCTGCTCTCAGCCAGCCTCCTTGCTCTCTCCTCCTCCTCCTGCTGCTTCTGCTGGATCCTCAGGTACAGGGCCCTCTGGGCCGAGGGCAGGAAGTCAGGGACACCGGCGCCCGGCTTCGGCCGGCCTGGGGGCCCTCCCTCAGAGAAGCTGTCGGGCTCCAGAGGGTGCTCGGGGAAGAGGTGCTCCCCAGGCTCCCCTGGCAGCTCTTCGTAGTGCCCGTAGTCCTCTGCGGCAGGGAAGAACCGAGGGTTCATGTGGGCAAGGGCCTCGCGGCACCACTCCACCCCAACCATGCCCTGTACTGCAAAACCACCCCCCATGGCGATGGCAAGGGATGCCCGCCCTTGCTGTCCCCCCCAGAGGGACCCCACGGAAAGCCCAACAGGACGGAACGCAGCAGCCAACTGGGGCGCCCCCACCCAGGATGCGGCCACTGAGAATGGGGCTCACAGCAAGGCTGAGTGACATGGGCAGGCTCATGACATGACGACAGGACACTATGGATACTGATACGACACAAGAAGCCTTGGAAGAGACAGACACAAACAGTGCCCCTGGGAAGGAGATTTGGGAGGAAGAGGCCAAGGGATCTTTCCCTTTTTACTGCACATGCTCCTGATCTGTTTTAATTCTGTGCGATGAACATTAATTTCACGATTTCTTTGTAACAATCAATAAAGAAAAACACTGTATCTCGTAGTGAGCTCACAAGACGAGCTCCACCAGGGTGAACAGACGAGTAGAGAAGAAAAGGAAACACACCAAAATGTCGCCATGGCCACGCGTCAGCCCACAGGCTCACGGGTGACCCCTCCTCCCCGCCATGGGGCCCTGTCTCCTCACACGTTGATGAGCACCTGCTGCCTTTCAGGGGGCGGTCGCGGGGGGTCTCTGCCCCACGCAACAGGAAGCACAGGCTGAAGGTAGGGTCTGCCTTCACTCCTGACGGGCGGGCGCGCGCCCGGCAGCAGCCACCTGCCTCCACAAGCTCCACCCACGCGAGGGCCAAGGACCGGGAGCACGTGGGTGGTGTGGGACGACGCACCTAGGGGGGTGGGAGCGAGTGTGTGTGTGGGGGTGTGTGTGTGTGCGCGCGCGTGTGTGAGTGCTGCCCCAGAGAACATTCTGCGATGATGAAGCGTTGCCCGTCGGCACCGAGAAATACCACCGCCACTACCCTCACGGGGCTACTGAGCAACTGAAACTCGGCCAATGCCACCAAGACAGCGAACCTGTAACTCAAACTGACAGGGTAAAATGACTCCATCTGTCAATGCTTCACAGGCAAAGTGTACAAAGCAAAGAGTGAAAGGTGGCCTCCTCTAGCCCCTGACCTTCGTAACATGCGAGCGTGATGGGCCAGCCTGCTCTATGCCACACCATGGCTCAGAGCTGGGGACACGCCGAGAGCAACAGTGCCGGTCCCCGTGCAAGGAACGTACCATCAGGGTGAATTCCTCGATGGCAGTGCATTGTGAACACACTACAAACCCCTGAACGGCACCCTTTAAAAGGGCAGATTTCATGACAGGGGAATTAAGCCTCAATTAAAAAAAAAATCCAATTACCCTAGAGATACCTACTGTTAAGAGCTTGAACGACTGTTGGGTTTCTTCCCACCCAGACCATTTTCCATGCATATTTCACATATATCTTTTCCCAGGGGAGGGATCGTGGGAGGCAGGTGCCCTCTCCCGCAGCCTGCTCTCCCTCACTCGAGAACATGCCACTCATCCTTCCACAGGCCCTGATCCTCACCCCAAACGCCTGCTCTCAACGGCCTCGAATGCCATCTACACGCCAAGGACTCACACTGACCTCCAGCCTGGTCACCCCGACACCCTCAGCGTTTCTGCATGGCTGTCAAAGGGGCATCTGACGCTTCACATGGCCAAGAGGAAGTGCTGCCCCCACCCCAACTCTCTCTCGCCAGCAGGACTCCTGCCATCAGGGATGAGAGACTCCGCCCCTCAGCCCGCCCCCTATCCGCCCCTGAGGCCTCACACTGACCCCATGGCTCCACCTCCAGACCACCGAGCCCCAGCCCTGCCACGCCTGCCACCTCCTGTCTGCACCCTGCTGGCCTCTGCCCAGGACAGGACAACTCCACAGCAGCCCAGGAGTCCCCGCCTCCACCCCGGCCCCACGTCCACTGCCTATGTATTCCTCCGCTCATCCTCCATCGCTCTTCCAAGGAGGCCACCTCCCGGTGGCAGGCAGTCTCGTGTGCTGGGACGTTCTGCCCTCCCTTTCCATTTCCGACCTACACAGCCCCCTGTGCTTTTCCCAAACAAGCAGACGGGGGGCCTCCCGCAGTTGCTGTGCCTCCTACCTGGGCCTCCTCCCCTTCACATCCCGACTCACACTCGCTCCTGAGAGCTCTCTGCTGACTGTCCCCGCCGCGGTACAGACCCTCCCAGCCCGCCTCCGCCCTGTCACCCTCCCATGGTACTCCACTGCACTTCTAGCAAAGATCAACGCTGGACTGAGCTTGCGCACTTATCCACACATTTCCTGTCTGTCTGCCTCCACTAAAAGGCAGCTAAGGCAAGGTAGGGGGCTGCTTTGTTTGCTCTGGCCCCGGGCCTGGCCCCACGCCCGGCACTTGGCAGCAGTGGGCACAGCTCATCCTTTCTGAGGGTGGCCCAGTATCCCCTATGGCTGCAACGTCGTCATCTAAACACCCCGAGTGTCCGAGATTCAGGTTGTTACCAATACACGTTCTTGCTTTAATAAGGAAGGAAGGAAAGGAGAAGGAAGATGGTCAGCTGTGGGGACAGAACAAGCAGAGTCACAAGGCTGACACCGGCAACTCCAAGCCAAGAACTGTCTGCAAGGAGGCCACACTGGCAAGAGCACTTCAGCCTCACAGCCCGACCCCTTCCCACTGCCCCTCTAACTCCCCAGCCTCCTGATTACAGGGACGCCAAGCGAAACCTACACGAAAACTGACTACAGTGAGAATAACCACAAGCCCCTTTCAGACTGAACAGGGTGGTGAATCTCATGTCACTGGAAATGCGTGACCACTCACACGACAGAGATGGAGGTGGATTCATGCTTTCAAAGACTCGGACCAAAGAAGAAAAATCACCACCTCCCAACCAGATTCCACTGTGCAAGACCCAGTGGCCCAGCCGCCCCCAGACGGAGCCCTGTATACCTGTGTCCCCGATGAGTCCCGGCTCCATTTCCATGCCCTCCTGCTGCTGGTAGAAGTTTTCATAGAAGTTCTGGGCTGGCGGGATGGGGGGCATCATTCCAGAGTGTGGGGAATCTCCGGGACCATAGGGCATCATTGGGGGGCCGCCAGGTCCCATGGGCGGGCCAGGGTTCATGCCAGGGCCCATCGGCATGTCGGGGTGCATGTCCGGGTGCATGTCGGGGTGCATGTCTGGGTGCATGTCAGGGTGCATGTCAGGGTGCATCGGGCCCCCCATTGGCCCTGGGGGGCCCATGTTCGGCCCAGGGCCCATTGGCCCTGGGGGTCCTCCGGGTCCAGGAAACCTAGGAGGAGGAAATGGGGCCAGTGAGAGGGCTGCAGAGGACGGGGGGCGGCCACACCCCTGAGGAGACACGGAGGCTTCCACGCGATCGAGCAATGGAGGCACCAGACTGGGATCCCGAGCGCTCTGGAGAGACGCAGGACGCTGCCCTGGCCAGGCTCACAGTGATGGGCCGCTGGCTCAGAGGAGCCTGGCTCTGGGGTCCAGGGAGCTTACCTGACGCCCAGCTTCTCCGCCAGCTGTCCTGTGGGCCGCACCACAATCTCGAACAAGGAGGGGATCTTCTTGTTGTACATGTCCTGCTGCTGCTGCAGCTGCTGTGGGGACAGCGGCTCGTGCACCGGCATGGGCATCTGCGGGGGCCCGGGGGGCGGAGGAGGGGGCGGGGGTGGGGGTGGGGGCCCGCCCTGCATGGGCCTGCCGTTTGGAGAGGTGGGGGGCGGGGGGCCGGGGGGCCGAGGCGGGGTGGGCAGGAGGCCCACACCGGGGGGCGGCTTGGGCAGGGGGTTGATGCCCTGCTTCTTCAGTTCCTCAACTTCCTTCTCGTCCTCAGCGCCCGCTTCCGCATCATCAGCCAACATCTGTGGGCGAGAACAAAGGGGAGTGGTGATCAGGGCAGGACAGGATGTACGTTGTCACGGATCCCCCCGGGATTGAAAGCTAAATTTTCTGAGGGAAACTCTAAAGCAGAAGGCCCCTGAGCCCTCACAGTATAAGGCCAATGACCACAAAGATTCTTTGGCACAAAAATCATTGTCTCACGGCACAGTCATATCCACTCTGTGACCAGCTGGCAGCGGGGAGCCATTCCTACGTTGCAGCAAAATGTATCTCACATAAAACGCACTATTTCACCATTTTAAAGTGTACAACTCAATGGCTTTAAGTGTGCACAATGTTATACAACCTGTATCTAGTTCTAGAACTTTGCAGTCACCCCAAAAGAGGACCCCATGCCCATTAAGCATCACTCCCCACTGCCCCTCCCTCCAGCCCCTGGCAACCACTCATCCACTTCCTGTCTCTACAGTATCTGTCTATTCCGCACATTTCATATAAACAGAATCCTATAACATGTGGCCTTCTGTGTCTGGCTTCTTTCGCTAGGCACGATGTTCTCAAGGTTCACCCTTGTTGCGGCCTGGATCACCTATCTTTACAGCTAACAGTCCACTGTCCTGCTTCGATTGTAAGGGGCTCTCGTACTTGCAACCAAACCGAACTCCTTCCTGTGACCCACAGGACCTGACAGCAGCCTGGGCGTCTGGGGAGGCCTGTGGGCACCTGGTGGCTTCATCTCCTTCCACAGGGCCCCAGACTCCTTGGCCCGAAGCACCCAGCCCCGCTGCAGTCTGCGGACAACCATGCTCTGTCTCCTGCAGGGCCTGGCCTGACCCAGGCTTCTCCCCAACATCTGCTTTTCCCTCTGTTACCAACTGTGTGGCTCCGTGTCCCCAACTGTTGGGGTCTCTTATTAAAGGTCAACTCAGAGTGACTGTCCTGGTCTCCTACAGTCATTACTGGAACACCATTAGCTCCCTTCAAAGCACTGCCCAGCCAAGCTTTGTAAGATTGTGTATTTCATCATATCCTTGTCTACTCCTGGCTCACCCGACACCTGTCAGGTCCATGAGGCCAGGACAGCGTCATGCCATAAGGAACCCCCAGGCCCAGCCTAGGGCCTGACACAGGGTACACGGACAACTTCAAAGCCTGGGTTTGAGCAGAAGGTCTCACCAGTGAGGATGCATGCAGAGAAGGTAATGCGGAAGGCCTGACTGCTTCCCCTGGAGGCCTGCTTGCACGCTGGCCCTGGCTGGTGTCCGGGACCCCTGGATCCCGGGAGAGTGCCTCGCATGCCCTGACTGAAAAGTGGGGCTCCCTGGGCCTAAACTGTCTGCACAAACAACGTGCTTCCTGCTGGACACCCTTTCCTCCTGGGAGTCTGGAGCTGTGGCACGTGCCAGGCAGAGGCCGCCCCCAGTAACAACCCTGGGCGCAGACTGAGTCTCTAACGCACGTCCCTGGGAGAGGACATTCCGCATGTGCTGTCACAACTGGAGGAGCTCAGCACGTCCCATGTGCCTCCACGGGCGAGGACTCCTGGAAGCTGGCGCCCGGTCTCTCCAGCCTCCACCCCGCGTCTTTGCCCCCCTGCTCACTCTGCCCTGTGTCCTCTCACTGCAGTGAAAGCTTGGCCCTGAGTGGAACTACATGCCTGCTCCTGGGAGCCCCCAGCAAATGGTCGAGGCCGGGCCTGGTCACCGTGGGGACCGCGGCATGGATGCTTCAGTGAATCCTAATGTGGGCTCTGAGCGGCCCCATCCCCGGCGTCTGGGCCTCAGCACTGCTCAGGACAACTCCTCTGCCCAGGGACAGCAGGGCGGCGGGAGCAGGACCTCCTGGCGGGTGCCAGGCAGTTCTCGGCTTTTCTGTCTCCTTACCATGAGTAACAAGATCTGGACCCAGGACAGTGGGGTCTATGAAGACTCTGGCTTTGAGGGGAATGGGAAACTTGGAAACTGATGAGTGGAAACCATTTCTCCCTGAGAGCCCTGCCACACACGGTGTGTTCTCCGTGTGGACCAGCAGCACAGGGGACCCGCTGAATGGGAACTACACGTTAACACGTGCCCACTGCCCTTTGGGAAACACTGCCAGACACCAGCCGGGCTCAGCGGGGGTACCCAGAACCTGGTGTCCTTCAGCAGTGTTCTCAGTGGGAGGCGGGCCGCGGGCAGGCTGCAGCCACAGCCCACAGGCCGTCTGCTTCACCGCCCCCACGGTCCGCTCACCTGCCGGCCCCGTTCCGGGTGTGTCCCCTCCCCAGCACATACCTCCCTCACTCTTCACTTCCTGCTGGTCACTCACCTAAGGGCCGGCGCAGCGTCACCTCCTCCCTGAAGCCCCCCTGGGTGTCAGCCTGTTGGAGAGCCTCTGGGCTCCCCGCACGCTCTCTCAGTGCCCGATCCGGGCGTGTACTCAGGATCTGCCTGATAACTGGACCTGCCTCTTTATCACTGTGGCCCAGGACCCAGGACAGCATCCGACACAAACGAGGCACGATCACAGGTTTGTGGGTAAATGAACAAGGAAAACAAACAGGTGCATCTCCCCCTTCACCCCCAGGCTCTAAGGAACGGCTGGCTAACGTCAGGACGGCGGGGGCGGGGGCGGGGATGGGCGCTAAAGGAGGTAAGGCTTTGACTGGCCCACTGTGCCACTTGGTGCTCCTCTCCAGTGGGTCTCCCCTGGACACCACCTCGCCCTTCTCTGGGCCCCAAAGCCCCAGGCCCTGTCCACCCCCACACCTTCGGTTACAGCTAGCCCTGGGCTGGGGCTCCCACACTCATCTCTCTGGCCAGAGCCACAGGCCCCATCTCCACCTGGTCATACCTCCTTCCACGTACCTTCTCCTCCACAGGCCACAAGCATGGCTCTGTGAACGAGGGACCCACCCCTGTCCCCACCCCTAAGCCAGGATGAGGGGTGTCAACCCCGACTCCCCCTTCACTTATCTCCACACCCAAACGCTGACCTGGAGCTGCTGCCTGGCCCTGCAGAGCGACTCAAGGGCCCTCCTTGCCCTCCACTGTCTCTGCCCGGCCACCTGTCTAGTCTTGCCACCACCAGTGGCACACCAGCAGAGCAGAGACGGCCACGCCCCCGCACTGCTAGATCCTTTCAGCGCTAACTCGGTGCCCGCAGGTAAAAGGCAAAGGCACATGTAACAAAGTCACACCTCATTACACAGGAACAAATGTGACCGCAACTTCCCTCCCATGGACGAGGAGCCACGGTCCGGCCGTGGAAGGTGCCACACTCCCTCGGCCTCCCAGGCTCCCACCCACAGTGCCCCCTCGCTCCCTGCTCTCAGCGCCACCTGCCCCGCCAGACCCCTGCCCTTCTTTCAGGTCTCCTGCGACACCAGCTTCCTGCCACCCCCAGGCCCCCGACAAGGTCTGCCCGTTGTGGACACGCTGCACATCTCTGCAGCACTCAGCACGCATGGGGACCCGCCAACGCCCCTCCTCCACCAGACCATGGGCTCAGGGACCGAGCTGCAGGACCCCATCCCTGCCAGCCGCCAGCGACCAGCGGGCACCTGACAAATTCACGAGGAACCGAGTGAACTGAGGCTCTCACCTACAGGAGCCCCTCAGGGAGGGCATGCTGGTCCCGGGAAGCGGGCCGCCGCCTCCTGAGCCCCCACCTCCGCAGGTCCCTCCTGCACGTGGCGCTGCCGCTTCCCAGCCCGCCCCCGTCAGGGCCTCCACCTCCACCGGGTGCCGGATAGCAGCCTGAGCTCAGAGCCTGGCCCGGAGAACACCTCCTCCTCCCCAGGATGCAGCCTCCCGCAGCCTCACTCGGACCCCACAATGTCCTGACGAGGCCTGCACCTCAGGACAGAGCAGCGCCCTGCGCTCATCTCGTCACCCAGTGTCTCCCGGTCCAGGCCAAGTGCCGCCTCAAAGGGCCTGCCTGTTCACAGACCTCCTGTGCGTCCCTTCATGGCGTCTCTGCCAGCTAGGACAAGCACTCCTGTAGATTTTACTTTCCGACCACCCAAATTCAATTTTGGAAGAGTTTTTCCAGATCCGACGCTCATCTGTAACCTACTGACACTTGACTTTAATGTCTGCGACCGGAAGCTGAAATGTACCACCTTGCTTTGCTCCGGGCTGTCATCAGGGCGCCTAACGCTGTGCTGTCCCACATGGTAGTCCCTGGCCATGTCTGGCCACAGAGACCTGAAACGCAGCCAGTCCAAATTAAGATGGGCTGGAAGGAGAAAATAAGCACCAGATTCCAAAGACATAGCACCAAGAAAATAAAAATCTCAATTTTTTTCATTATTTATATAACTTGCCAAAATGATGTTTTGGACATGGATTCAGTGGGTTAAGTAAGAGATACTGCTAAAATCAATTTCATCTGTTTCTTTTGCTTGGCTACTGTGGCTCCCAGAAAAGTTAACTATTTGGCTCTGTGCTGGACGGCGCTGGTCCAGGGCGCAAACTCTGAGCCCCCAGCAGGGGGCAGCCCTGAGCCAGAGACTGTCCAGTCCTTCAAAGGGGACCGAGGCCGCCTTTCCTGTTCCCATGGCAGACCCTGTGAGACAGCCAGACTCCAGGCATCTACTGAGTACATACCTCTGTTCCTAGGGCAGCAGGCGCCCCAAAGGGCCCGATGAGAGAGAGCTATGTCCACGCGCACTCTGCCAAGGAGAGCGGATGTTCCCTGCTTGGCTTGTGAGGGCTCCCCACTCCCTTGGGTAGCCAGGCCACTGCTTAAATAGGGCAGTCACTGGCGCAGGGACTCCTGAAACTGGCCGACGCACTGACGGACTGGATCCTTTCATTCTCCAAACACTGCCATGTCCTCAAACTTCTTGCGAACTAGACGGCAGGAAAGCCCTCCCCTGAGAGGACAGCTGTTCCCGCACCCACTCCCTTGGCTGTGAGGGGACCAAGGACAGGAACCGGGGCCCCTAGAGTGCTCATGACTCCTCAGGGAGAACAGACACCAAGAGGAGTTTCAAGCGTCACCTGGCCGGTGAGGAAGCCCTGACACCTCACCCGAGGAGGCTCCCCTCACAAGAACCTCCACTTCCCCGTCCTTTTCCTACTGCATAGCAGGATCCTGAAGATGTGGAAGGAAACATTTAACATCTCCAGCAAAAGATGACCCACCCCAAGTCTCGTCCTCTCCTTGCATATCATGGGCTCTCTCTAAAGGATAGCTAAGGGGCCGGCCCAGTGGCAGAGTGGTTAAGTTTGCGCACTCTGCTTTGGCAGCCCGGAGGTCACAGGTTCAGATTCTAGGCACAGACCCAGACACTGCGCATCAAGCCATGCTGAGGCAGTGTCCCATACAAAATAGAGGAAGACTGGCATGGATGTTAGCTCAGGGCCTCTTTGTGCTTGAGGAAGACTGGCCACAGCTATTAGCTCAGGGCCAATCTTCTTCACCAAAATAAAAAAGAAGAAGAAGAAGAAGAAGAAGTGGAATAACTGGAATTAAAGTTAAAAAAAAAAAAAAGGACGGGGCTGGCCCGGTGGCCGAGTAGTTAAGTTCGCGCGCTCCGCAGCAGGCAGCCCAGTGTTTCATTGGTTCGAATCCTGGGCGCGGACATGGCATTGCTCATCAAACCACTCTGAGGCAGCATCCCACATGCCACAACTAGAAGGACCCACAACGAAGAACATACAACTATGTACTGGGGGGCTTTGGGGAGAAAAAGGAAAAAACCAAAATCTTAAAAAAAAAAAAATGGACAGCTAAGAAATCACAATATATGTTCGGACGCACAGCAGGCAACAATCCTTTCATGTGGCCGCCCCCCAGTGAAAACTGCGCTGGCCGGAAACAATACACATGTGTGGCCACCTCGATTCTCCCTGCAGAAAAGAACATGGTCCCCACTTCCTCCTTAAAATGGCCCAGCTCCAGATCAATGCAACCGGGAATTCTGGTCCTGCACAGAGGCCAGACGGGACGGCGCAGCTCCCGTGCCCGGCAGCCACGGCCCCACCGCGAGCCACGGACACTACCTTGTCCAAGAGCTCTCTCGTCTCCTCGGTCAGAGGGTCGTGGGAGAACATGCAGTCGTCGCCGTTGATGCAGTTCCCGGTGGTGTGGTACAACTTACACGGGAAATCACGTTCACGGCAGGTTAAGGCAAATGCTTCAGCTCGTGCAACCCACCCGGGGCCAGAGTCCAACACCCTTTGTTTTGGGGATGAGAAAACTAAAGCCCAGAGACGGAGATGACTTGCTCAGGGTTACACAGCAAGTTGGCAGCAGACCCAAGATGAGACCCTGGATCTCGAGACTCGTGCTCCAGAGTGTCCCCCACCCCACCATGCTGCTGCTGGGGCTGTGTCTGCAGATTCTCACTCAATGGGAGCAGGGATGTTCAGTGACTCGCCCAAGGTTACAGAGCCATTTGGAAAAGTCTCAGAAAGATAACAGGCAATGGCATAGCCCAGTCTCGAGAGTACATGTAAAGAGAACATAGAGCGTGTGTGCCTCAGTTTACCCATCTGTAGAAGGGGAACAACAGACTTGTCATAGAGCAGATGTGAAGGAGATGGAGACGCACAGGCAGCTCTTGGCACGGCGCTGCACGGAAGGCGAGCAAGCGAGCGCAGGGCGGCGGTCATGACCCACGAGAAGAGGTGTGCACCCTCAGCCAGGGGAGACGCGGGCGCCAAAGGATATCGTGCATGTAGGGGCAGTTCTCCGCTCTGGCGCAGAAGCCGGTGATGTAGAATTTGCACAGCTCTCGCTTCTTCGGTAGCTCGATGTCATGGCTGAAATTGCAGTGGTCCCCCTAGAAGAGAAGGAACGACAGGGTACAGTGGTGGCGCCCTAACCTGACTCCCACCGCCAAAGGGAGGTTCTGCTCTGCCACCCAAGCACAGGGGGGCCAACGACAAAATGAATCCCCTCCCCCGGGAAAGGGCAGGCTCATAAGGACGCCTTCCCATCCATTTTGCACTTGCCACACAGCGAGCTCCTCTCTCCCGCGGCCCCCTCCACTGCCTTCCACAGCTGCTTTCTAGGCTCCCTCCTCTCCTCTCTCTTATCTACTCACTGTTCCTCACTGTTTGCTGCGGGACAGCCGGTCCCCAGGCCCAGGCTTCTTCCTCCCTAACACAAGCCCAATTTTGTTGGGGAAGAATGTGCCCAGCTAAAAACACTCCATTTCCCAGCCTCCCTTGCAGTTCTGGACAACGAGACACACACACACGTCTCCAGGGGGGACAACACTGCTTCAATTTTTAAAAAAATCCCCCTACCCATTTTTATTCCTCCTAGCCCTTAGATGTGACGCCCGGAGGCACAGCAGTCACTGAGCAACCCTGAGGACAAAAGCCACAGGCTTAAGGATAGCAGAATAAAAAGCAGGAAGGAGCAAGGGCCCCCAGGGCGCCACTGCCCCCCGCCCCAGACTCCTTGTTCTGAGACAAATATCATATATTTTCACGAGTTTTCCATTATCTGCAGTCAAATAAAATCCAAAGCAAACAACACTCAGGTGAACTGAAGACAGAAACGGCTCCATACCTGTTTCCTCGAACTCTTAAGAACGGCTACTTATTGTTTTTGTTATTTATATGTATTCACAAGTTTCTAAAAATACGAACTGTGACTATACTAAGGAATATTTTATGCGCACACACACATCTGTTTGAAACAGAGCGATGTTTTTTCCTAAGACAGATACAAGGCACAGCGTTCCCCGGGCACGTGTCCGCCGGGCTCTGCCGCTGCCTTCGTATCTGAATAAAGAGCTGGCTGGCTGACAGTGCTGGCTACACTCGCTTCCTTCAGAACTCTGTGGGCAGTGGCCCTGCTCGGGCAGTGCATCCGCTGTGCAGTTCACGGCTGGCCCAAGTCCCCCCGTCTCTTCTCTGTGGATGCCTTAGTAATGCCCTCTCCAACACTCAAGCGCAGTAACTGAACCGGATAGGCTACGTCTCTGCATTAGCCCCAATCCTAGTAATACGCTTGAGGCCATACGGACTAGTTGAAAAGTTTGGCCAAAAATCCCCCCAAACCAAAAAAACCCAGACGTGTCATCTTGTTCTGGCTCCTCACTCTGCAGAGGGAACTGAGGCTTCCAGGCACTGTCCCCACCTAGGGTGGCTTCCAGAACACTCCCAAAGTCCCGTGTGTCTTCTGTGGGGTTGCTGCCCGGCTCAAGGCTCCCAGGTACTGTAACTGGTCCCTTACCCATGTGCACCGCCCTTCCACAAAGTATTTGCAGATGGCTTTGCCTTTCTTGTCAGACTGCTGGTGGAACTTGTCATGGTCACTCCTCCTGTAGCTTCCGCCGCTGTCCTGTTAGGAACACAGAGTGTGAATGTAAGGTGGAATGAAAAGGAAGGGCGGGGAGGGCCCGTGTGGGCCACCAGGAGGCAGGCTCCAAGGGATGAGAGCAATGAGAGACGGTCTGTGGGGTGAGACGGGCATTTGTTCAACAGAAGTGTCTTGGTGTGATGAGAGCACTGCCCGGCAGGTCACGTGCAATGCCGAGGCTGTGTGGGTGTGAGCGTGCACCCTCCACAGTGTTGGATGGGAAAGCTTCCGGTACTCTGAGCTGTGGCAGCTGAAGACTCGAGCACCACACACCTGTGCAGGGACACGTCCACTCCCAGGGGAGGCAGCATGTGCCTTCCTGCAAAACTCTCCAGAGCTAACTGGATGGGTCACCTAGAACCTTCTGACCCTCAGAGACTCGTTACGGGCGACTGCAGGTGCTACACAGCCATGGTGTCACCAACAGAGGGTCTCACCAGCAGTGCACCCCCACGAGACACGATTAGCGCTGATCGGCCCCAGGGAGCGGCCAAGGGGAGCAGGGGGCAGGGTCAGCCTCAGGGGGCAGCTCATTACAGAAAGGAAATTCTCAGCAAGGGGCCCTGAGCGACAGGATCCGATCAGAGCGGAGAGCTGACTCACGCCCATGTCGTCGTCGTAGAAGTCCTCATCGTCGTTCATGCCGCCCTTGGTCAGCCCTCCTCGGCTTCCGCCTCGACCGCGGCCCCGGCCCATCCCTTTCCCGCGACCTCGGGACCCCCGGCCCCGGCCTCGACTTAACCCTGCCGAGAAGAGAAACAGTGTTCACCCGCTGCCCGTCCCCAGGCCCCGGGGCCAGGAGCCGCCAGGAGGAGCCCGCCACCTCAGCCCTCCCGGGCCCCTTCCCACCTCGCCCTCGGCCGTCCTTGGAGCGGCGGTACTGGTTCAGCTCCTTGGAGTAGTCGTCATAGTCCTCGTCGCCCATGGGCTCCTCACCTTCTCCATACTGGAATCCCAGAGGGACAGAGAGCGGGCGCGTGTTACTCGGGGAACAAGGGACGCTGCCCCTAACCACACACGCTGCCCCCTTTTCCCTCCAATCAGGACAGGAGACTCAGACGGGCGAGTGAGCGACCCAGGGTCTCAGCCCTGAGCCCCACCTCTGCACGCCGCACCGAGTGGTGGGTGGTCCTAATCCCTTCCCTGGCAGCCTCTACTCTGAAAACTCTGGCCCATGGGGCAAATCCATTAGGGCGTCTCTGTACACCATGGGCAGCTGCGTGGCTGTCACAAAGACGGGCATGGAAAGGTCTCAGGCAGGGAGAGAACAGGGAGCGTGTGAGCTCTCCTCCGTCTGCGTGCACGCGTGTGCAGGGGTGCGGAAACACCTGACTGCAAGGGTAGAAAGCATTTCTAGAGCGCGCCCAGGACCCGTCTCCAGGCACGGGAGCTAAGCCATCGGGACGGCGGTGGGAGGAACATGTTTTCCGCAGCTCACCCTTTGGGACCCTCTCAATTTTGAACCACAGGAAGGTTTCCTCTATTCCGAAATAAGAAGTGAGCACTTTCAAACACAGAGGGCTGCCAGCTGCCGCTCTGTGCACCTAGGTCTTCCAGGCCGCCCCCCACGGCACCTGCAGCCCAGCAGCCACACGCCCCCTCTCCCGGCGGGAGGAAACCTTACTTCCATCTCCTCCTCGTAGAAGTCGTCTTCGTCCTCCGGGTGGTCTCCTCCCACGGAGCCTCTGCCCCTGCCTCGGCCGCCCCTGCCCATGCCTCGGCCTCGAGAGCCGCCGCGACTTCCTCGGCCCCGGTAGCCCCTGCCGCGGCCTCGGCTGCCTGCACAGGGATTCGGACGGTGAGCACCGAGCGAGAGAGGAACCCACCAGCAAGACGAAGTGAAGCCCTCCTGTGCCCCGAGCAGTTTCCATCCTCCTCCTCTTCCGAGGAGCCTTCCCAGCTGTCCCAGGCAGACCTGGGGTCCCCCGGTCCCCACGATGGGGGAGCCTCAAAATTCTGAACACACCCTCTATGGCGCTCACTACACTGTAGGCCGTGCTGTCCAACACAGTGGCCACCAGCCACACGTGGCTACTGAGCACCTGAGACATGGCTGACCAACTAAAAGACGCTGTGAGTGCAAAGCCCACACTGGATTTCAGAGACTTAGTAAAAACAAAAGAGAGACAGAATATAAAATATCACATCTGTCTATTTTGATCACATGTTGAAATAAGATTTTGAATGTATTAGGGTGATAAAATATATTGTTAAACTTAATCTCATCTACTTCCTTCTACTCTCTAACTGTGACTACCCGACATTCTAAATGACATGAGGGCTTATGTTATATTTTGACTGGAGAGCCCTAGGCCAGAATCTCCCCAAAGAGTAGGGCCTGTCCAGGCAGGTGTCCAAGACAGACAGCTGAAAGCACGAACACATGAACGGCCACTCAAGCAAGAAGTGGGCCTCAGGCAGGGCTAAGAACTGCTGAGCTGGAAGATTCTGGACGCCCTCCTGGGCTGGGAAATTTCGCTGGCAGGGCATGGTTCTAAGAGGCCAGGCGGGTCTCTGGCATTCCGCCCTCCCTCACCATCCTCCTAACTGCCACAGGTTCAAGGTTCAGAGGTGTGGCAGTCCCAGGGGCCACGGTCACACCATCAGGTAACAGGAGCTGGGAGGAGGGGGAGGCGGCTGCCGAGGGCTGGGGCAGCGGCTATCAGTTACCCTGACCCAGATGGGAGAGAAGCTGTCCTTTCTCTCTCCTCCCAGCTGACCAGGAATTTACAAACCACCCTCCAGCCATGCCGGCCTTCTCCCTGCCTCATGCCAGCCTGCCTCCATCCCAGCCGCGGCCTCAGACGGCGCCCTCTTCTCACGTGGCTAACTCCAGTCCCGGGGCCCTCCTGCGCTCCCCAGCCCTTCTCCACCATACTGAGCTAGTCCTAACGGAGGCCCGTCTCTTCTCCCGGACCTGAGGCCCCGTGAGCAGTGGCCGACCAGGTCTGTCTGGCTCTGCACCACGCCCCCGGCTCCGACGCCCTGGAGGAGCTTCTGCGGGCCTCACCTCGGGCCCGGCTGCTGCCCTCCTTGGCGCGCCGGTACTGGTTCAGCTCTTTGGTGAAGTCGTCGTAGTCCTCCTTGCCCAGGTCCTCCTCCTCGTCGCCCTCGTACTCCCCGTACTGCTCGTTCTCGTAGTCTTCGTACATGCCGTAGCCTTTGCTGTCCATCTTGGAGTAGCCCTTCTTGGGCAGCGACGTGGTGTGCGACGGAGGGTACTGCTGGTGGGACTGACGGTGGGAGGAGGGTGAGCCAGCCCGGCCTTGGGTCCAGACCACCAAATCCCCAGTGCTCCCTAAACTGACTCATCTGTCTGGGGGTCCCTGCAGGCCCTGGGCCTGGTTCCCACCTGAGTGAGACACAGGCAGAGGGCCCAGATGTTTCTATTCTTCAGAAAGGGCCACGGCTTGAAAGAAAGTGGAGAAACACAGAGCTCAGGATCTCTAAAGAACCAGGGAGGGGAGAGAAGGGGCCACTTCCCGGGATACAGAGCAGTCTCCCGCGGGCAGGCAGCCGGGGAGGCAGCAGCTCCTTGGTCAAGATTTCCCTGGGGCCTTGGAATTCAATTAACGCCCTGCTTAGCAACCACACTAGAAAGCCATTTTACATGATGCCTTCCAAAGTATGTTAGTGCCAAGGAATACTGAATGAAGTTAAATAAACATACATATAAATGGAAGCCACCAAGATGTCCCTCAGTAGGTGAATGGATAAACAGACTGTGGTACAGCCAGACAACAGAGTACCATTCAGTAATTAAAGAAATGACCTCCATGAGGCCGGCCCAGTGGCGCAGCAGTTAAGTGTGCACGTTCCGCTTCAGAGGCCCAGGGTTCACCAGTTCGGATCCCCGGTACGGACCTGGCACCGCCTGGCAAGCCATGCTGTGGCAGGCGTCCCACATATAAAGTAGAGGAAGATGGGCATGGATGTTAGCTCAGGGCCAGTCTTCCTCAGCAAAAAGAAGAGGACTGGCAGCAGATAGCTCAGAGCTAATCTTCCTCAAAAACAAATAAAAAAAAAAGAAATGAGCTCGATAGCTATGAAAAGACACGGGGTAACCACAAATGCATAGTGCTCAGTGAAAGAAGCCCATGTGAAAAAGCCACATACTGCATGAGTCCAATGTATGACATTCTGGAAAAGGCAAAACTATAGGGACAGTAAAAAGACTGGTGGTTGCAAGGGGCTCAGGGGGAAGGAGAGATGAGTCGGCAAAGCGCTGGAGATCTCAGGGAAATGAAACTATTCTGTGATAGAGTATGGGGACTACAAGACGTTACACATTATCAAAACCCAGAGAACTATGAAACAGAAAGGGAGGACCGTAACGTAAACTACAGATTGCAGTTAATAATAACGTATTGATATTGGCTCATCAATTACAACAAATGTACCACACGAACGCAAGATGTTACTAATAAGGGAAACTGGGGGGGGGCGGGGGGGAAGCTGGGTAGGGACTGTACTCCTGGTCCATTTTCTATAAACCTAAAACTGCTCTAAAAAATAAAATTAATTTAAAAAAATCCTCATTATTAAAACAATGAGAAAATACAAAACAGAGATAGATACACAGATGCACACAACTACTTTAGCAGACTTTGAAATGCCTCAACCCCCAGCTCCCAATCTCGGGTTTAAAGCCTGAATCTACTTTAGCAGATCAATGTCAACCACAGGATTTTACAATAAGTTATCTGTTATGATGGGTGATGCTGAGTCCAGGACGCCTGGGACATCTCTAAGAGCTACTAGTTTTAAAAGCATTTTTAATCCAAACTCGAAAATACATGTTGATTTTTTCTTCTTATTGGTTTTGCTGGGGGAAAAAACCATATACCAACTGAACAAATAATTTAAATTTATGTTTAAGCCCAGCCACATAATAGGATAAATATTTAACTTCCAACTCCATGACATTTGAGATAATGTCGAGATAGGTTACTCCCTTAACCATTTCATTCTCTTGCCAATTTTCCACAAAAGGTCATTTCTCAACAGTGGAAAACAGTCAGCTACGACAGGGACAACTCAGCATCTTTCTTGGGGACAAGAGACATGCTGAGTCCTGCCAAGGACATGAGAAGAGGTCTTAAGAGCACAGCTTATTGGGCTGGCCTGGGGGCACAGTGGTTAAATTCGCGTGCTCTGCTTCAGTGGCCCAGGGTTCGCAGGTTCGGATTCTGGGTGCGGACCTACACATCATTCATCAAGCCATGCTGTGGCGGCATCCCATATAGAGAATAGAGAAAGACTGACACAGATGTTAGCTCAGGGCCAATCTTCCTCAGCAAAAAAAGTTTAAAAATTAAAAAAAAGAGCACAGCTTATGGAGATGAACCACTAACTGGGTTCGAACCCCCGCTCCTGCACTTCAGAGCTGGTTTAAGCTTTCAAAGACTGAGTTTCCTCCCCTGTCAAATGGGGATAAAAACGATACCTAATCGTGCAGCACTGAAATCCACGTACAGTGCCACGCAGAAGGGCCCAGCACAGAGCACGTGCTCTGTAAACACAGGCAGCTGTGCCAGGCCCAGCCCGTCCCTAGCCCCGTGGACACCCCGCCCTGACAGCAGGTCCTCACCGGCGCGTATGGGGGGCTGTACTCTCGGTACTTGCGGTGCCCTTTCTCACTGGGGCTGAAGTCCGAGTCGTCGGAGAAGTCAGAGAAGTCATCGCTGGAGGAAGCGTGGCGCTGCAACGACAGAGAGTGTGGAGTGAGCGACTCTGCTGCAGGCAGGCCACCGTGGCAGTCAGCCCCAGTACAAAGGGACAAAGACTGCCGGAACGTGCCAGAAGGGCTCTGTGCTCTCGGTGAAACACCTCTCCTAGGGGCATTTAGTGGCAATGGAGCATGAGCTAACAACTCATTAAAGAAAAGTCTTTATCCGATTTGGAGGAGGAAGAAACACTAAGAGTGCCCTCTGGCCTGAGGAGACAGGCTCCTGGCCAGGCCTTGTGGCCAGCGAGCCCTTGCGGCCCTACCTTGTGCTTGGACTTCCTCCTCTTCTTCGACCTCCTCTTCTCCTTCTCTCGCTCTTTCTTCCGCTTCCGCTTCAGCCTCCGGTGCGACTTCTCCTCGTCGGAATCGCTATGGTGCTTGTCTCCCTTTTCTTTCCGGCTCCTCTCGGGCCCTCCGGAGGTGTCCTGGGTCTCCTCGGCTCCGTCATCTTCCAGTTCACCTTCTTCCAACTCACCATCCTCCCTACAAACCAACCCCACAGCCAGCATCAACACAGGGTTCAGAGGCCACCTCTGGAGCTCTGCGCTGCCCGGGGCTGACGGCAGGAGAGGGCCCACTGCAGCGGGCGAGAGCCAGAGCCCCTGCGGGAGGCCCTGGGAGGACAGCCCTCAGCCTCCCGCAGACGGCCCGCATCTGCTCTCATCTAACCCGGCGGCATTCTAAAGGCACCGCCACAGATACTGGGCCAAACCTAAGCCAGTACTTCCCACGTGTTCCACAGGCCTAGAGTTCTGAGAAGCAGAGCGACGAGGCTCTGTGGTGAGATGCGCTGAGGAAACCCCCATCCTGGGGATTCACAAGGCCTGACGCCGGAACAGAAGTTCCCGGAAGTTGGAGTCAGGAAGCCTGCAGAGCTCTGCTTGAGAGCATTGCTGAAATGTACAGGACCCCGGAAGCTTCCTCTCTCAGGGAACGGACCAGCATCCCTCCCAGAGCACGGTGGCGCACAGTGGCCTGGGGTCACCCGCTAAGCCCCAGCCCTGTGGATGTGCCCTGTGAGCTGAGGGGGTGGCTGTGGACGGTGGAGAGAGGGCAGTGGTTCCAAACCAGGGCAGCCGGCGGATTCCGGGGCCCGACTCACAGGCAGGCCTGGACTGTGGCCCGAGGATGCCGCATGTATTTCACAAAAGCCCTGTGAGAACCACCTGTGAAGAGGCTCCGGTCCCCAGGATCCAACCCAGACACTCCTGAGGTCCTCACGTGACGGCTGTCAGAGGGCCCACGGGCGGGGTCACCCCGCCACCTGCCACTGACCCCTTGTTTCCCACCTGACTCCCTCACCTCCAGGTGGCCCTTCTGGCTCCCCATCCTACAGATTTCCTGAACTTGTCAACTCCCCCACATGTCACACAGTTCCCAGTACTTTAAAAATAAAAGCACTCGCCAAATGTGACAGATGCTGCCAAGAGGACATTCTAAACAGCTAAATATCTACAGGATGGGGTGGGGGTGAGGGGATAAAAAGGGTTAGGAAGGTAGCAGGTGGAAAAAGCATCCAGTTTTTGAGCCGAACCCACAGACACAGTTCTCACGAGCACAGGAGCTGGTTTAAAAAATCAATAAAAATTTTAAGCTTTAAAAAAGCTCCCCAAGTTCCTCAGGAATGACCAGGGGAAAGTATGTGTGAGAGCATAAAAAATCCTTTCCTTCTCGATTAACGAGGACCCAAAACCAGAACGAAGGTAATGCGGAGAGCAACACAAGGATCCCAGGACCCAAAGGGGCGACCGCAGAGGGAAGCGCTTGACGCGGGAACGGCCTCGGCGGCTGGGCTGGGCCTGGGGTCGCGCGGCACAAGCCATCAGGCGCCCGGCCTGGAGCCCCGAAGATTCTCCCGGGCTTTGTGGGGAAACAGCGAACTGATGACTTCTCCGAGGATGCTGCCCAGCCCGCTCACTCGCACTCCCTTTGTCCCCCAAGGCTGCTCCCCAAGGTCAAGCAGACGTTCCAGACGACCCTTTCTCTTAACTCTCGTTCTGGATTCAAAGGGGTCAGGCAGGCTTCAAACCCAAGTGGGCCAGTCCCGCGGACACCCTGGCAGAGGTCAAGGGCGGCTCTCACACACAGAAGGCAGGACACAAAACTCTTTGTGGCGTTTCCAAGGGAACAACACGGAGGTGGCCCACATGCACCTCGGGCTGTTTCCTCGTAAAGCGCCAGGCTGTCCTAGGCCGGCCACGGGAACACCCAGCACACTTCAGAGGCGGCAGCTTTCCTGGCAAGGGGGGCACCCTGGGGCTTGGGTGCGGCCCACAGAACCAGCCCAGGGATGGCCTCACCCACAGAAAAAGCGCCACCTGACTGGGGAAACTGGTTCTGGCGAGCTTGCCAACCCCAGGGAGGGGCTGTCACTCAGCTGCTGCCTGCCTTCGTGTGAGACGCCGGGAGGGTGGCTCCTGGATCAACACAAGGGCCTCCCTGATGGGAACACTGTGGGCAGCGAGGCCGCCACACCTCAGGAGACACAGACAGACAAGACAGACAGACACAAGGGAGCTGGGGAAGGCACACAGACAGACGGGAGAGGTGGAGGCTGGTACTCCATGAAGAAAAGCTAAAAACAGCACCACTCTGGGGCTGGCCCCGTGGCCGAGTGGTTAAGTTCGTGCACTCCGCTGCAGGCGGCCCAGTGTTTCGTCGGTTCGAATCCTGGGCACGGACATGGCACTGCTCATCAAACCACGCTGAGGCAGCGTCCCACATGCTACAATTAGAAGGACCCACAACGAAGAATATACAACTATGTATTGGGGGGCTTTGGGGAGAAAAAGGAAAAAATAAAATCTTAAAAAAAAAAAAAAAAAGAAAAAAGAAAAAACAGCACCACTCTGCACACTTTAGCCTGGAAAGGAAAAAGCTGAGAAGGACATGGCGTAAAGCACCCGGAGTCCAGGCGGGGAGGGAGGGAAGGCGGGGAGACAAGAACCGCCTGGGCTCCCAGAGGCCCAGACGGAAGAGAACAAAGCCCAATAGCCACAGACCCTCCTGGACCCAGGAGAAGCCTGTCAGAGCCAAAGGGACAGTGGGCAACATGAGCCCTCTCATTTCAGACAAGAGGAATTTAAAGGGAGAGTAGCTGAAGGTGACAGAGAAAAAGCCAGAAGCTGACTCCTTGCCCTGACTCTCAGCCCAACCCTCTTCCTGACTAGGGGGGACGGGAAGGGATGGGGCGACCCCTCATCGACCGCCTCCTTGACGTCACAGACATGTCTGAGCACCTTCTGTTCCGCATTGTCCTCGTAGAAAGATACAGATCACAAGACAAGCCCTGGGACACAGGGCTGGGTGGCTGAGCCAGAGCCGGCTGGCATCCCCAGACACTCCCTCACCTCCGCCCGCTCAAAGGGCAAATTAGCCATGGCACAGGAGGCAGAGGTCTCGCCCAGGGTCAGCTGAGGCCTCCCCTCCATCCCCGTCCTGCGGCCACACGCAGGCCTGGACGAAGGTGGCCACTCCACATCTCATACCCCGGGGCAGGGGCACAAAGGAGCATCTGAGAAACTCCCAGGGCTTTAACTATTACCAAGGATGATTCTAGAAGAAAGCGTTTTCATTCCAAAGGACTTATCCAAGGCATTCAAATCCACTCTAGAGACTTCTAGCCCAAGAGGCATTCTCTGCATTACCTTATTCACAGCCCCAGGCACACCTGGCTCAGTGAGAACCTAGTGTAGGACTTTTTACAAAACAAAACAGAGCGAATACTTGAAACTTTCTTTCCCTAGAGTTGGGAAAAGCTGAAAAATAAACAGGATAAAAAAACCTGCTGGTGGGGCTGGCCCTGTGGCCTAGTGGTTAGGTTCGCACACTCCGCTGCAGGCGGCCCAGGGTTTCATTGGTTCAAATCCTGGGCGTGGACATGGGGCTGCTCATCAAACCACACTGAGGCGGCATCCCACATGCCACAACTAGAAGGACCCACAGCTAAGAATGTACAACCAGGTACTTGGGGGCTTTGGGGAGAAAAAGGAAAAAAAAACAACAAAAACCTGCTGGTGACTAATGGGATACTGGAGGGGACAATAGGACAGTGACGTTGGACTGACCAGTGCACTCCCCGTGCCCTCTGGCCACGTGCTCTCAAACCCTTCGGGGCCCTGGGCTAACCTCCGGTCTCCTGAGGGGGTCCCCTCTGCTAACACTGGCGACTCGCAGCTAAAGGTCCTGCAGGCATACAGGGTCTATTTCCGTCACACTCTCCTCAACAGAAAAAACAAGCAAGAAGATCAAAGCAGTGGGGACAGAGGTAGAAATCCTGTGGGCCACAGATCGACCTGCACACAGGCACTCTCCACAAAAAGGAACCAGGGGTAAGCGGTGCCACTTCACAGACCGCCGGCAAAATCCGTGTCAGAGTGGGATTAAACACCGAGGGAGCACGCCTAATAGACTGTGACATAATCCCCCAAGAAAAGTGGGGGAAGCCCCACGGCGCTAATCATTTCAATCAAGGCCTGCCAAAGCCTCTTGAGACAAGCACGCAGGAGACGCCGTGCACATCGGCCTGGGCAGAGACTGCTGTCCTCGCAGAGCCCAGCCTGGCAGCGCCCTGAGATGGCTGCGCCAGTCATCAGGGACAGGAAACCAACCCGCTGGGAGACGGGCTCGGAACTGGCGCCTGGGAGGAAATGGGAGAAGCCAACATCTTGCAGAGGCTCGGACCCGCCCTGTGCCTCCTGGACGGAGCTTTCCGCGCACTTAAGTATCCAATCGCAGAGCTGGGGAGGGCCAGCTCCTCTCAGATCTAGGTGCCCGTCCTGAGGAATGCCCACCAGGCCAACTCCACAGGGCACAGACGCGTACTGAGTTCACCATAGACCATGGGCTTGGCAAAAACAGAACTTAGTCAAGAAACCCCATCTTTCAAAGTCGGCCGGCCCCACCACCAGCCTAGAGGCTTGGGCACCGGGCTTCCTTCTGCAGACCAAGTACTCCGCCTTGCCCTCGCCAGTGCTCTCGGGAGACGCACCCGAAGCCTTGGTTTTCTCATCTGCAGAGCGGGATGGCTGTCAGCACCTGCCTCGAGGGATTGGGAGGAGACAGATAAAGGAGAGAGATGGATAAGGCCTCTGACATGGGGCGCAGGCAGGAAGTAAGTACCAGACGAATAGTGGTTTCTGGTTTTAAGAACCAGCTGGCATGAGCCCGCCTCTCCGTGGAAGCCCTGAACTGGCTGGAAGGCTCCCTGGGAAGCGATTTCTTTATGGAGCAGCTACCGCCACCTTCCCGTGGGGGCCACCGCTAACTGTGGCCCACCAGCGCCTGCTTCTCTTGGCCCAACCGTGCACGCGCTGTCCTCTGCCAACAAATGCCGCTGACGAGAGTGACACACCGACGTCTCCCCTTCCTCAGCCCTCACCTAGACGGGAACAGAAAGCTGCCAAGCGGCTAACCAGGACGGACAGGCACAGGCAGAGCCGAGCCCCGGGAAGAAGGGACAGAGGCCCCTTACCAAAGAAAAGCTTGGCAACACGGGAATTCTCTAGACGAGGGAGTTGGATGGAAGTTGAAAAGGGCCTGGGTTTAAGGATATACCTGGTCACACATACAAAAAAAAAAAGAGAGAGAGAAAGAGGTAAAAGAATAACAAAAAAGATGGCAACTGATGGGAGCAGTGGCTATTACCTGAAGATCATGGGAGCCCTTGACAAGAGGCGGCTAGGTTAAGGTGAAGGTCAGGGTTATGATCATTAACTGCCCAAACTCTCAACAAATGGCCTGGGTAGGCTCTGAATGACCCATTAACTAGGGACAAAATTACAAAAATTACAAGGAGGCCCCGCCTCTTCAAATGTTCAACGACAGGTCTAAACGCAGAAGTCCAGGATCCCCAAAGCCGACCCTGCAGACTGCCGTTCACTGGGAGCTAAGGCCCAGGGCCTTTCCTCTAGAAAATCGGCTCGGGGCCTGCGCCTGAGGAAGGCCCCCCGACATCTTCCCTCGACTTAGGACGGGGGGAAGCAGCCATGGGGGGCAGGGGAGGGGGCCTCACTGAGAGGTTTTCAGAGGCAGGAAATTCTTGAAATAAACCTCTGGGTCTCACACGTGTTTTTCAGTGTCCTTACTACCTAGGTTCATCGACCAGAAATCAAGAGCAAATGGGCTCTGTGGCTCCCTTCCCCTCAACATTCTCAGGGGTGGTCACAATCGGCTCTGTGACATCACACACTTCCACGGTAACGTGCCCACATCACGGACGGCGCCGGAAGAGCAAACACAAACCGACCATGGGAGAAGCCAGGCCTGACACCAGCGCCCCCAGACCCTCTTCAGTGCGAGCAGGACAGCTGCCTGGGGCCGGAACCCGGCTACAAACACCCCACCGGCAGAAGTCAACACAGGACACTGGAGAAACCCAAACTCGGACGGGATACTCGAGACACTAAGTAATTATTGTTAAATTTGTTAGGCATGATTATGGTTTTGTGGTTTTGTTTAAAAGAACCTTTAAGTTCACAGGGAAGAATTTACAGGTCAAATGAGATGAGATCTGGGATCTGCTTTAAAATACACCAGGGAGGGGGCGGCCTGGTGGTGTAGCAGTTAAGTGCGGTGGCCTGGGGTTCACCAGTTCGGATCCCTGGTGCTGACCTACGCACGGCTTATCCAGCCACGCTGTGGCAGGCATCCCACATATAAAATAGACAAGGATGGGCACAGATGTGAGCCCACGGCCAATCTTCCTCAGGAAAAAAGAGGAAGATTGGTGGTGGATGTTAGCTCAGGGCTAATCTTCCTCAAAAAATAAATACATAAAATACACAAGGGAGATGGAGGAGGTAGTGAGATGGACCAAAATTGGCAAAATGTATCTAAGTGTTGAAACCCGGTGATGGGTATATCGAGGCCCATGATACTATTTTCTCTTCTCCTGAATGTTGGAAAATTCCCATACTAAAAAGTAAAAAAGCAAAAAGATGCCCCAAGTGGGGACCACCCCAGCAAGGTGAGGACGCGCTGTCAAGGTCTTCAAGAAGTTCATCTCCCCAGCAGAGTGCTGGGGTCTGAGGCGGGGGCCCTCCCCGACCCCTCACCTCTCCAGCCCTGGTTTCCTCCACTGCAAAACCTGCCTGAGTACCTCAGGGTCTCAGCAAGTCCGAGAGCGGCAGGAAGTACTCATTACTAATATTCCATGCCAGGCACCGGGCTGCTAGGCTCCCCACCAAAACCCATGCGGCAGTGACCCATGAGCAGCCCCATTTTACAGACAAACTGAGGCTCAGCAACGGGAAGAAATCTGCCTGTAGGGTCACAGCAGGAAGCAGCAGAACCAGAACGCAAGCCCAGGACTTTCTGACTCCAGGCCCAGCTCTTAACCTCTACCCTCGAAACAACGAGAAATTACCTGAACAAGAAGAACTTACTAAACAGTCCAACTGATAAAAACAACTCCTGCCCTGAAATTTATAATCAAGTTGAAAAAAATAAGACATACGTACAGAAAACAGATTAAATGAAACAGTTCTTCGAGAGACGACACAGGGAGGTCCTAAGACACTGGGCCAGCTCCCTGAACACTGTGCGCCCCAGTTTCAACTGTGAAGTGAAGGCAGAGATGGAACTCGGATGGACGGAGTGCTCACGGGAAGAATTTCCTGAGACCATTTCAATCAAGTGTTTAGCACCAACCTGGCCCAGAACAGACGCTCAGGAGTGAAAGCTTTCGCTGTGCAAAGACACGAGGCCAGTTCGGTCCTTCTGACATCGACCAAAGGGAATTGGGACATTCAAAGATCTGACCAAAGACGTCTGGATGGTTAAGGGAATTAGGAGGTGCACAGAAAGGTCCAAGGAATCCTAGCGAAAAACCAAACAGGACTTAGCCCAAGATGGGCAGAGAGCAACGCCAACCCAAGGGAAGGAAATCCAGGGCAGCTAACAGCTGAAGGACTGCCTCAGCCCGCGTGCGCAGCGTCCACACTGCGGCCCGTGCAAGCACGCAAATCTCTCAGGCAGAACATTTCTACAGGGCTTCAAACAAGCCGACCAAGAAAAACCTGGCCTGCGAGAAGCAGCTCCCTGAGTCAGAAGTGTCGTTTTCTTCACCCCAGCAGCCACTCTTCCACTCCCACTCGCTCTGAAAACGGCTCATGTTCTTAATAAAGGTCCCTCTCTGGTCCAAGTTTCTCCTGTCAGATGAACTCTGAAATCTGCTTCTCAGCAACAGAGAGCTTCCTAACCACCTTCTCACGCCAACGATGCTTTGGATTGCCTAAAGCTGGAAAGATGCTGGTTTTCATCCAAGGAGGGCCGATTTCTATTATTCCAGAAAGAGAATCTAATCACTTAACTTGTGAACTAAGACTTTTCTTTGTTTATAATTTTTTCAGAGGAATCAATCTGGTTCTATTCAATGCACATTCAACCAAGACAAAGTATTAATACTTCCCTCTTAAAAGAGACCTGAGCCTAGGACCCTCAGATCTTGCTCATGTACCACTGCAGAATTCCTTGAGAAGCACTGCAATTATCTGTTTACGACCATTTGTTAACTTCCCGTCAAATGTGGGCTCCCGGAGGGTGGAGAGGAAAGAGGCTGGCAGCCGAGCCTGAGTTTCCAAGGGCCCAGCACAGGGCCGTCTGGACCAGATGGGTGCTTGGGATGCATTCTACATAAACACAGCATCAATCTCAGCTCCCCACACCCTCCCTGTCAATTTCACCAACACAGCCATTGGACCATTTCCCAGGCAGTAACCCAGATCGCTTAAGACTCTAACGAGGTTACTGAGGGGTTCTCTTTCGCTGAAAACTCCTTCAGGGAGTGTTTATTGAGGACTTCCTGATAGGCCAAAGGGCGAGTCACAAGAGCCCATATGGGATCAGGGCATCCAGCAAGCAGATGGACAAGGCGCCAGCCCACCCCCCCCAGGGATGCGGCCCGCCTCTGTCGCCAAGAGGCTGTGGTTCCCAGGACTGTTCTGGTGCCCTGTGCAACGGCAGGGCCTGGAATCCCGAGGAAATCTAAGCCCCGGTGTCTGTTAGGAAAATGAGGAGGGCAATAATCCAAGCCACCTGCAACGGACATTTAGCCAAAGTGACACTCGTGCCTGGGCCCGGCTCCCTAGGGTCAGGCCATAGCGGGGACGTGTTAGCTGCAATCCACTTCCGCACTGGGCTTGAAGAAGTCTCTGGTTACTAATGAATGAAAATCCCTTTGATTGAAAGGTTCCAAAGCCTGGGCTTGGGCCTCTACACCCACTGGAAGGAGAGGACCACGGGGAAGACGGAGCCCCGCCGCTCAGTGAGGGGCAGGAGCACACCCCTGCTGTATGCCCTCCTGTTCTCTCCCACCACTTCCGCCAACACAACAAAGAAGACCACAGCTGCCGGGCAGGCACACCAGGCACTGGGCACATACTGGCACAGGGGCCGCAAACTTTTTCTTTAAAAGGCCAAAGAATAAACATTCTAGGTTTTGCAAGCCACACAGTCACTATCTCAACTACTCAACTTGGCTCTTCAGCACAAAAGTAGCCACAGACTACATAAACGAATGGGTGTGGCCATGTTCCAACAAAAGCTTACTTAGAAACACAGGCTGGAGGGGCTGGCTTTGGCCCAACAGCCAGTCTGCCCACCTCTGTCCCACGTGCGGTGGCTTTCAAACCTGGACCTTGACCCCATACCTCCTCCTTTACATATCTCCCAAACAGAAGTTTCCCGAAGCCACATTTAACCTTTGCTGTACTCTGCTTTTTCTATCCTCTTCCATGCCTTGGTTTTTCAAATGCAGGAGACAAATCAATCAATGGACTTCGCAGCCCACTAAGGGCTGCAGGCTGCGGGCTGACAAGTAGGGCACCAGAGCCAGGACAGCAGAGGGGTGGAGAGCTGGGGCGGGGCCACAGCCTGCCTGGTTCTGTCTCGGCCTCTACACCCACTAGCTGACCTCAGACCAGTGAGCTCACCTGCCTTAGTTTCCCAGCACATAGGGCTGAGGTGAGCCACTGTGTGAGAATCACTCTGAAGGACCCCTCCCCCAAGGTCATCTGTGACCTTCACATGACAGTGCACAAGAGGCACTGTCACACCTTTGGGAAGGCCAGGAGACTGCCTCAGGAGCCGAATCATTCCTGAGTCACGCCCGGTCAGCCTGACTCCCATGTCCCCAGCCGATATCATTGCTCCACCAGAGGAGGGCCAAGCCCGATGTGGAGGCAACAGGCAGCATCCATGCTATATTCAGCTCGACGGCTCTGGAGCTCACGGTTTCTGGGACCACTCGACAAGGGCGAGTGGGACCAGGGCCCAGTGCCCAGCTGGCTGCGGAGCCAAGGTTTCTGATGGAGCTGCCTGCACTCCAGCCACTCAGCCTAACCCTACAATCCACTGAAGGCCTCTCTGCAACCAGGTCTCGGGAGCTGCAGCAGCAGCCACAGCCCCCTGAAGCTGCAGAAGGCGGGTGAGGCACCGCAGGAAACACAAGGCCCAGAGAGGGGGGACCAACCCTTGCCCGACTCTAAATAAAGGCCTCAGGAGAGAAGGGCTCCTTGCACACCCTGCAAACCTTTCTGCTCCGAGAAAAGCACGAGACAAGCCTGGCGGCTGGACGAACAAAGCCTGAACTGACTTGCCCAGTCTCCGACCGGGGGCGAAGCCTGGAGCTGGGACAGACCTTGCTCACTCCTCTCAGAGGCTCCAGTGAGGGTAAAGGACTTGGCTGAGGTGCTGTGACTAGTTCGCAGCGGGCGAGGAGCTGAGGCCCTGCTTTCCCAGTTCTCGGGAGGCCTACCAAGACCGGAGCGCCGACTCAGATCCCAACTGCAAAAGACGAACACGGGAAAGCAGGCAGCCTGAGCTCAAGACTGTAGGACCGTTCCAGCAGCTATAACGAGGACATCGAGCCAGCAAGAAATGCCTTCAGATGGCTTCCATTTAGTTTCAACCCCAGCTGGCTCCTTGCAATTAAATAGGCTGACCAGAAACCTAAAAAATGAAAGATAGATCGACTTCCTCCAAAAACACAGTCATCACTCTTACTTGTGTTTACACACCAGACTGTCTGTCCTATTTGGAATTTTTCTCTGGCAGGGGCAACAGATGCCAAAGATTCCCTGAGCGCCGGGCACTGTGTGGGAGTCCTACACATGCCCCTTTGACCGCAATGACCCTGAGGACTGGCAGCTATCCTCAGGGCCCACTGCACATGGCGGGGAGGGCCAGCCGGGCCTGGCACCATCTTATCTGCCCCACGAAGCCCACAGTGTTCCTTCATATCCTGTTGCCACCTCCGACGTTCAAAAGATGTCACCACTTGCCTCACAAACAGGGAGCTGAGTCACCAATTCACACAGATACGAAATGACAAGAAAATACACACGAGAAAGATCCTCTAGCCAGAGCAATTCGGCCAGGAGAAGCCAACTATGCTTTGAGCAAATATCCTATGTTCTGCTAAAAAAAAAATGATTCTAACAGCAGGAGGCAACTACATCCACAGCAACCAAGAGGCCAAGTCTTCATTTTTGTCATCAACTGATTAACGGTCAGAAATCTTACAAACTGCCCACGTAATCGCCTATCGTTACTAAATTGACCCAGAAAGCCTCGCACCATGTCTTCAAGACAGCATCTTCACGGGCGACCAAAAGCAGAGGCCTACAGCAGAGACTGGAAAGTGAAATCCTCCAGGTCTGGCTCCCCTCAAACAATGAGTTCGACTTTAACTTACCCCAATGAACTTTACATGCCACCCAAACGGGCAGCTTTTCTACTCTTTCCATTAGGTTTTAATTATGAAACCGGCCTCAAACCGTTTATTCTGACAAGATTCCCTCCACCAATGAGCACACTGCTCCTCCGGTTCCTTGAATCAGCTTATTAAATACCAACTGCCAGAAATCTCAGAAACCATCTTTTTTTCTCCTATTGTCAGTAGTCATGTTGCCAAGGTAGAGGCGAGCGCCTTGCTAATTTAGAAACTCAGCCATTACACGTCTATTTGTTCTGAATTATTGTCTTCTGTCACTCAAGCTGCTAACCTGAGTGAGAACCAGGCGCTCTGCGACTAGAAGATAATTAATTGTCCGTGGGGACCAAAATTAGGTTCTCCGGAATATGGTTTGACCTAAAGCTATCCACGGAGGAATGGAAATGGTTTCACTAGCAATTTCCACCACAGGTATTTACTGTAACTGGATCTGGCCTACACAACGAGATGGTTCTAGGAACTCGAGCTACAAAAACGTAACAAAAGTGAGCAACAAATAACGCAATGCTGAGACATCCCTTTCTCCCCTACCAGGGAAGCAAAAAGATCTAAGAGAAACGAGCAGAGGTGGAGGTATTATTAAATGATAAATGACTGAATCAGCCTAATATGAAATTGTCTACATTGAAGCGGATGGAACATACAAATTCAATTATTCACCTCTAACTTGCCAGGTAGTCAACAGCCGGGAAAGCCTTCACTTGCACAGGTGCAGAACAATTTCCCCTTGGGATCAGCCCTCCTGGCTAAGGAAAAGCCATAGAAGTGGCTTTCTAAAAGAGCCAGCTCTACTTAAAAAAAACTGTAGCTTGTCAAGAGGCAAAAAGTTAAACTTTCAGAGCAAAGTGAAACCCTATCTGGGAGGCAGGACAGACTACGAATTAGAAAGCCCTTTCGGGGAACCATTTTTTGTGCTTTCTTTTGAAGAGCAAATTTGAGGGGAGTGAAAAATAAAGGGGTTTTATTTCCAGAATATCCATGTTTTCCTGGTCACATCTGATTCTGTGTCTACTGGGAGATTTTTATTTGCTTTCAGATTAAAGCTCTCCCCAGAGAATATAAAAATTTTAAAGATTACAAGTGTGTGAGAGTTGCTGTTAAATCAGGGATTCTGAGTGACACCCTTTTTTTTTTTTTTTGCAACATCCATTAATTTCAATTTTACCTAATAATGGTACATCAGTTTGGGGGGAAAAAAAAGGCAGTACTGTGACATTTCAAAAACAAAGACTCCTAAAGTACAGTTTGACATAATTACTGAGGCTTCTTGGATTCCATGGATGACATTGCTTTGAGAACCAAAAAACAATAAACCCTTGTGTTGATATGCCTGAGCACTTTTTTTAAATGTTTGGGGAAATATTTTTAAATTCAAGGGGCGACAGCTAAAATTTTCATCTACAAGAGAAATCCCATTTCCTCAACCTCTCATGTTAAAAGTAAAGTTAAATAACCATCCTTCTGCAACCTAGGAGCCCTCGAAACTTGGAAGGGCCATCTGTTAGCATTCAGTTTTTGCACTTGGCTCCTGGAGGAGGAATTTCACAAAGGATGGGAAACTTCAAATAAATGCAGTTCATTTTCGGTTGGCCCTGCGCACTGGATAATGTGTCAGTTGGTGCTTCAGACATTTTTGCAGGATACTGTCCTGCGTGGACACTTCTTCCTCCCACAACTGTATTTCACACACCTACGATCACTTCACGGACTTAAGTTGTGAACATATCGAGAGGAAGAACAAAACGTGGCCCACTGAACTGCCGTTTACATGTATCCTCATCAAAATGTGAGTGAACGTTTTTTCCCCCCCCTTAAGAGTGGAAAAAAAGGAAACAGGAGCTTTTGGAGGGAAAGAGGGCTGTGTGTTAAAAAGTTCTCTCTGAACAAAGTATGTCAGGGACCAAAAGTGGGCAAGAGGGAAAACTGAACTGCAACGTGTTTCGTCTTTTAAACGGCACTTATGCTTGTAAAACACATCAGAAGTACAGTGTTTGGTTCTGCAAGTCATTTCTGTGGCTGTTTTCTCCTTGTCGGTGTAGGAGGGGGCGCTGGGGGCTGGAGGGAGTGCTCCTCCACCATGACTGGGCGTGTAACACGTTTGCATCAACTTTTCACGGTCAGGCATGTGCTTTCGAACAAAGAACAGTGGAGACAGGGAGAGGAGACTGGGGCTTGACACGTTACAGATTTGGTGCTTAAACAGTACTTTACAAATGACTTGCTTAATTTAAACGTCCATCACCATACGAGACATTGGAGTCAAATGGGAAAATCCAATCTACTTGAACCACAGTCCTTTCTGGGGGGGGAGTGGGGGCAGGGGGGGAGGGAGAACATTAACTCGAATGCCAGTATCATAAACCAAATTCAGTAACCTTGTCTCCTGCAAATGGACTTGAAGCATCCACTTTCTTCAAAGACGAAGGCTGGAGACAAAACAATGGACTGAAATGGAAAGAGGCTTGAAAATAGTCGGGCCTTTTACATAGGTTTTTGTCATGTTACAGTAACACACTTTTTTTTTTTTTTGAGAAAACTGTGTACGTCAAATTAAAAAAAATTAAACATCGAAAGGATGTGCAAGTCTAAAAGGGCTCAACAGGGTTAGAATCCTGATTCGAACATATCAATTCACTGTCTCAAGCATCACTTTGGTCTACAGGCGAGGAAGGCAGGCAGGAAAGGGACAAAAAGAGGGAGATAATTGAATTACTCAATAAAAGAGGCTACTTACCATCCCAACCCATTGTAAGACATACACTTCTGACATAAGAGAACTCCTTAGAGGTCGAATAAAGCGTGTAAGCACCTCTGAGTAATGCACCTGCCCCAGAGGGGCCCGGAAGCCCAACGTGGGCTGAGCGAACAGACCTTTGCTAATCTGTTTATTTCCTTGAACTGGAGTCAGGCTGCGATGGGCTGCGATTCCCAGGACGATACATTTAATTAGAACAAAACAGAACAAAACAAAAAAAAAAAAAAATTTTTTGTAAAAGCTCACCAAACTGCTGCACTTGTGTCTCTGAATGTGGGTGGCATTTCTTTTAAAAGGCAAAGTATGGTCTGTGAAGGAGAAAGGGAAAAGGGGAGGTGGGAGCGGGGAGAAGGGGCCGAGGGGCCTGGCGGGGAAGCCCTAGCTCAGAGCCCCGTCTCGGGAGGGTCCTCAGCGACTCCCCAGCCCGGGCAGCGACCCGGCAGCCATCTGTCCAGCGCGTTCTCTTCCCCTCCCCACCCCCACGACCTCCTAGACTCGCTTTCCTGCCGGCTGCAACCCTCCTTCCATGTCCAGATCCCCGCTCGAGCCGCCTCTTCCCCTGCCCCACCAGGATCGGGGGGCGAACGGAGCACCCCAGCCTCGTGCTGGAGCAGGGGAAGCGGGGGCCCCTGACCTCGCCCTGAAACGCGCCGGGCAGGCCCCTTTATCACCCTCTAGAGAAGGGCGTGGGGCGAGCCCCTTCCGCACTTAATACGGGGGTGGGGGTGGGGGGCTCCCGTTCAGTCCCTGCCGAAGCACGAGACAACCTCGTTTACTCGCCCGGAAGGGATGGCGCCCCATTTTAGCCCCAAAGAGGAGGGAACCCCATGAGAAACAGGACCAACTTCCTCTCCTCTCCAAAGCAGGGAAACCAAACCTCCCCCGCGCCCCCCCCCCAAAAAACGCATCACCTACCTACGAAAAGCGAGGACCCCTCCCTTTAAGGAAAAAACATGGGGAAGGGTCTTCTCCCCCCAAATCAGGCAGGGGCTTCCATCACAGGGGCTCAAGATCCCCCCACCCACCCATTTTGCCCGCTAGGGAATAACTAGAAAACACCTCCCGCCAAAAAAAAGTGCGAGAGCCCCCACCCTAAGGACCCCCCTCCCCGGGGAAGGATGGAGAAAGGACTGGACGAACCCCCACTTTCTGCTTAAGAAAACCAGGGTGCCTCTCCAAGTAGGGCAGGGCGCACCTCCCCCAGGAGAAAGGATACTGCCGGGGGCTGGGAGACCCCCCCAACGCCAAACCCCTAAGAGCGGCTGGTGGCTCGAGATCCCCCCAAAAGGGTCCGGGAGCCCCTCCCCCATCCCCTTCCCCGAAGCCAGGACACGGGCGGGCGGGCCCGTGGCGGCCGGCTCCGGGCGCAGGGGCCACCAGGACCCCCGCGGGCCTCCGCAGCGCCCCCCGGCGCCCCCTCCCCAGGGCGGGCGGGCGGGCGCGGGGGGTCCGGGGGGCGCCTCCTCACCTTCCCCTCAGCATGGCGCCCAAAAAAGACAGAGCGAGAGCGAGGGAGAGCGGGCGAGCGCCGCGAGGGGGGGGAGACGCATGAGGCCGGGAGAGAAAGCGAGCGAGAAAGAGCGAGCGAGCGAGAGACACCCACCGACCCCGCCCTTCCTCCTCCTCCTCCGCCGCCGCCGCGGCCCGGCCCAACATGGCGGCGCCCCCCTTCCTCCTCCTCCTCCTCCTCCTCCTCCTCCCCCCGGGGACGCTGCCCCGGCCGGGCCGGGGGCCTGACCTGTCGTCAGGGAGCGGGAGGCGGTGGTGGAGGAGGTGCGGGGCGGCCGGGCAGGCGTCGGGGGAACACGGAGGAGGCGAAGGCGCTGATGGCGGCGGAGGCGATGGCGGCGGCGGCGACGCTGATGGCGGCGGCGGGGGGGTCCCGGGCGCGGCCTCCATCGTTCCTTGGGGGGGAGGGGATGTTAATGCACGAAAAAGGACTGCTTGGGCGTGGCGGGAGGGGCACACTTCGGCTCTGAGGGCCCCTGACAGGCGGGGGGCTGTTTTGTATCGGTTTCGGAATCACCTCCGCGCCGACCTCCGCGTAGGGCGCGCGGCCTAGGCCTCGGCGGGCCGCTCGCCGCCTGCTTTCTCCGCAGCCCGCCCCCGGGGTCACACGCTCACGGGCGCGGGGCCCTCATCGGGGCGAGAGAGCCCCCCGACACCCGCCCCCCCCCCGCGGGCCCGGGGGCGGGAGACCCGGGGGACACGGACACTGGTGGGTGGTTGGGTGTAATGAGCGCGGGCCGCGCGCAGTGGAGCAAGCGAGGGGGAAGGGGAGAGGAGGAGAGCGAGCGAGGAGGGTAAAAAAAAAAAAAACAAAAAAAAAGGATTTGAGGGAGAGACGAAACGGGCCGCGGAGACGGGCCGACTGTCTGTCTGTCTGGCCGCCCTGGGTGCCCCAGCTGCCCGGCCCCCGCCGCAGTCAGAAATTCACACAAAATGGCGGCCCGGCCTGAACGAGCCGAGAGGCTGCGGCGGGAGGAAGGGCGAGGTGGGAGGGGGAACCGGGAGGCGGAGGCCGGGGCCGCGTCACGTGGAGGAGGGGGGGCCCGGGCCGCGCGCCCGAAGGGCGGCGGAAAGAGCCGAAGGCGGAGACTGAGGCCGAGGGGAGGCGGAAAGAGCCGAAGGGAGCTGAGCGGGAGACGGGGAGCGGCGGAAAGAGCCGAAGGTGGCAATGGGGGTGTGGCCAGAGAAAGAGTGGGAAGCCCCCGGGAGCCGGAAATAGCCGAAGCGGATCGGGACGGGGGCAAAAAGTAGGGATCGAGATGATCGGGAAAGAACGGAAGGCGGCGTCGGGTGGGTGGCAGGAGGGGATACAGTGGCAAGAGGCCGGGCGGGGTGACGGGATTTAGACAGAAGGAGCTGAAGGGCGGGCCTAGGGAGGCGATTAATTGAGTAAGAGACTTTGAGGAATTCACCCTAGAGCAAGCGGGAAAAGCTGGAAATTGCTAGTTTGAAGGAAGGCGGGAAGAGCCGGAAGGTGTAAGTGGGAGAACGAGAGGGAAGGAATTCGGGCTATGGAGAGAAAAAAAATAACCGAAAGCCGGAGGCCGGGTGCCGTGAGTCGGAGGTTTCCGGAGAAGGGGAGGATGGAGCCAAGGCGGTCCGGAGATGACGTCATTAGAGACCTCGGTCGATGACGTCATCCCTGGGCGGTGCGAGAGGGGAGGGCCTTGGTGGCGCTTTGGGGGCACTTTGAGTACCTGGAGCGTGGTCCGTGGAAGGCTGTCAATAAATGCTCGGCTCGGAAGCGTTGACCTGGTTCAAACAATATACAAACGTAAAACCTTTTAACCCGCACGGCTATGCTAAGGGGAGCTACTGTTATTCCCTTTTAATGGATGCAGACTGAATCTCGGGGTTTAATTGGGTCAAGGTCATAGGATTAGCAGTAAGGAGCACCGTAAGATTTTTTTAATCAGAGCTGGCCTTCCATTGCCTCCTGCAAAAAATTTATCCAGTCCTATCTATGTCCGAGGATCTTCGTTCCAGGCTTTTATGAGCTCCTTGTATGTTGCCAAGCCCTGTGATGGGCAGTCGGAACGTAGTTTCTAGATAGAACTTAAAAACCGATAATGCCGCAGGGGAAAGAAACTGGAAATTAGAAGAAAGAGGGGCTCCTGTTATATTGGGGGGGAGGGTTGTTTAAGTTAAAACATGAAGAAGAAGAGAAAGTTCCAGGCAGAGGAAATAGCTTATTTCAGGCCCCGACAAAGGCAAGGACGACTTAGATTCCAGGAACTGAGAAGAAGCCCGTGTGAGTTTTTTCTCGTGAGAGAGGAATCTGGAGGCGGAGGCGCCGGATCACCTCCTGATATATTGATTAACCCTACTGTAAAAGAAAAAAGTGTCTCAAACCTGGTCTGGAACACACGCTTTTACAGTGTCCTTCGGGGAAGAAATTAGCGTTCCTAATAAAATACTTAAGACGTTTTCTAATGAATTTTGATGGGATGAAACTCGTTCTGGGAAACTAGTGGCCCAGCCAGTTGACAGCTGTCAGTCAACTGCTAGTCAAGAATCTCCTGATGTTGAACTAGATCATCTTTTCTTTCTGGATCTAGTCTCTAGTCTAATGATGGTTATTTAACCATTCTTTTCTGTAAAATGTCCCTACCAAGAGCAAGTCTTTGGCTTACAAGAGACCATTATTCCTTGCAGGCGTGATTGTAATAAAATGTTGGCACGTGCTCATAACTCAGTTGTTCAAAAAACGTTTCTTTAACACACCAAGAGCTAGTAGAGGGGCCGGCCCGGTGGCACAGCGGTTAAGTGCCCACATTCTGCTGCTCAGCAGCCCGGGGTTTGCCGGTTCGGATCCCGGGTGCGGATGTGGCACCACTTGGCAAGCCATGCTGTGGTAGGTGTCCCACATATAAAGGAGAGGAAGATGGGCATGGATGTTAGCTCAGGGCCAGTCTTCCTCAGCAAAAAGAGGAGGATTGGCAGTAGTTAGCTCAGGGCTAATCTTCCTCAAAAAAAAAAAAAAGCTAGTAGGGCAGGGTTGTGAGAATGGAAAGGAAAAATACTGTGTGTCATTATGTGTAATTGTGAAAGATGCCATTCTACTTCTGTGCTTTGATTTCTGAACCTTATGAGTTCTAGTTATGGACGAAACAACTCTAGCTGAGAATATAGACCACATCTAGAGGACAGCACCCTGTCCTTTCAAGCTGTGGTCTCCAGCTGGCACCATCTCTGAAGCTTCAACAGGCCGTTCCACAATTCTAGGGGGCCATCTGCTTTAAGTCATGAGAAAAATGGAAAGACCAGTGAATCCCATCGGGCAAGATTTCTCCATGCTTTTTCAGTGTTATACTGGAACGTTATCTACCAAACCCCTCTGGCATTCTAGATTTTACTCTGTCTGACTTACCATTTAATTGTCAACTAGGGTCCAGACTCGATAAAGTTATGGAACATTCTCAAGTTTAAAATGATTTTCCTCTGG